AGATTGCACTTTGCTCCTAGGAGGCGAGTAATGTAACGATCTATACCGTCCCTAACCTTGCGAGCCCAGACGGATCCCGGAAATGAGTGATGATTTGAAGCAGTGGGTGGTGGCTTCTCCCGTAAGGTGAAGTCATTCAACGTTTATGATGTGAATGGCTATCGCCGCACAAGAAGCTACGAGGAGAGTCGCCCAACCTAAAAACCACGTGCGGTGGAGTTTCAGACGCTGGAACGGATGCCAAGGACTATTATGGCACAGTCGAAGAGATATACGAGCTCAAATTTAAGGGTGCCAAAACTTTTAATCCAGTGGTATTCAAATGCCATTGGTTTGATCCTGATGTCGTAAGAAAAGACCTTACGATTGGGCAAGTCGAAATTCGACAAGATTCCAGATATAATGGAGACGATGTCTATATTGTGGCTAACCGAGACGCCACACAAGTTTATTACCTCCCATGGGCGTGCCAAAAAGACAAGAACCTTGAGGGTTGGAGCCTTGTGCACTTAGTATCGCCACACGGTAAAGCGGGTGTCCCAAACGATGATGATTACAACTTTGACCCAAAGGCAGATGAATTCTATCAACCCGAGGGGCTAGAAGGGAGTTTGGAAATAGACATTTCCTCGCTGATGGACATGGAAGAAAACAATGACATCGATGAGGACGAGGGTGATGACGTGCAGGATGCTGAGGACTTACGCATCCTTGAGAAATGGCAGAGGGAGCGCGATGGAGTTGTTCAGGACGATGAGGAATTACGCATCCTTGAGAACAGGCAGACAGATGATGAGGACGATGCAGAGCTCGACAATATTGATAGTGATGACGAGGATAGTGGTGACGAAACGGCACCAACCATATTGCCGTTCGTGGAGATAATTTCTAGACCACGTAATGCTATATTTCTTTTATTGTTATCCGTAATTATGTTTTTTACTACTAGTTGTCATTAATTTATGCTAACTTTTTGCCCTTTTGTCATTGCGGTGCACTCGACAAAATGCCGGTGCGGAAGGAAAAAGCCGCCGCTTACACGAGCCGCCGCTCCTGGTTCGCCCGCCGCCGACGAGGAGGAGGACCGGCAGTGGTGGAGGAGCCGCCAAAGAGGGGGGGGCCCCCCTCGCACGTCGCTTGTCGAGGAGGCTGCAGTTCAGGAGACCCGCGTCCACCACCACGACCCACCAGACCACGAGGACCGGTGGCGGTGGAATGCCGGCGGTGGCGGCGAGGACGAGGACGAGGACGAGGGCGAGGAGGTCCGGGGCCACGACGATCGGAGCGGGGGCTTCCTCAGTTCGAGGAAGCCCTACCGGATGGGCAGCTTCACTCCGGACCCACGAGCTCCTGGCCGCCGGCCGGCAGCCCGTGGGCGCGGCGTAAGTAACCATAATTCATTTCAATACTTGTTCATATGACATGTTAATGACTAACAATTGTTAATGACTCTTGCGAGGTTGGAAGTTTGTGAGCGGCGCCGGACGACGGTTCACGCCATATCAATGGCATCCAAGGCCCGCTCATTAGGGAGTACTACACGGCTTTGTCACCCACAATGGTGAGGAAAAGCCGCCCATGAAGTGGGAGCACTTCTACGTCATCTCCACGAATGAGACCCTGGCGCGAAGATCAAGAGGGAGTTATGGGTGAGAAACCGTATTTCTCAATACTACACATTTGTTGGATGCTATTGAAACAATTGATACATGTTGTCTATGATGGACTTCTTCACGTGCGAGGAGGGGAAAGAGCAGCATGCGGCACGAGTTCAGGAGGCGGTGTGCAAATTACGTTTGAAGGACCTGTACCACGAGGCGCGCCTCCAGTGCGTCATTACCTACTGCGCCAACGTGCTTGGCGGTGGTGAAGAAGCCGCAAGTCGGGAGATGTTCCAGTGAGAGGGAGACCGAGACCTGAGAGCGAGCAAGACGGTGTAATTAAGAAGGAAACATCCGTTTTGATTCAATCCGTGAAATATTCAATTCATCTTGTTACATGTTACATACTTGATGTCTTGCAGATGTGTCCGGAGTGGTGTGACAAGTACCAGGATTCTTTGGTGGCCATTGTGCGATCTCGAGAAGATCGTTGAAAGCAACATAGAGAACGAATGTATGCAAAGGGCACTGGTGGGGAACGGTCTCCAAAGACATTGAAAAATGGGTATGCTTCTATTCAAATTTGAGGAATCACATTACACTCAGTAACCATGTTTGTGTTTTCATCCCGGTCTCCAGCGCATGGTGGGCGTGGAGAACGAGATGATGGGTACGCCCTTTCTCAGGGCAGAGAGCGACGGCGCTGACAACGTCTCACGACGAGGAGGACGGGCCGGACGCCAGACATTCAACAAAGCAGCGTCTACCCCAAGATCGGACTCTGGCGAGGCGTTTCGCGCGCCATGGGGCCACGCGGACCCGCCACCGAGCCTGCGGACACGCGCCGGGATGAGGTTGGGGCCGTGGAAGCAAAGACGCGCATGATGCCATGTTGATCGACGAGGCGGGATAGTCTCGACATCCCCATAGCGCCGGCAAATGAAAGCGCGCCCTGTGTAAGTGGTTTCATTTGTTGTTCACTGCTGATCTACCTTGCCTTAACATTTGTGGGTGTAATATTGCGGAGCTCCGCAAATACTACCAAGAGGCCCGGCGAGGCGGGAGGTGTCCAGCAGCAGGAGGCACTACATTCGGTTCAGACTAGCGACAGAAACTTCCCGGCCAGCGGAGAGTTGCCGTTGTCTAAGTTCCATATCTATCGCTCGCCTCCTGCATTTTCAGGAGTATATTTGCATTGCTTTAGCCGGTACGCCCATCATGCGAGTACTAATACATCAATTGGCTTTTGTGCAGCACCCGTTGAACCCGACTCTAGTGCTAGCCCTCCACCGGTTCTTACCAAGCTTCCCGACCTTTTGCAATGTACATGAAACAGTGCTCGGGGCTCGGGTATATATGCCTGCCGCCTTGAGCATGTGTGGAACTAGTGCGTCTGGTAGAGATAGTGGAAATTCACTGCGAGCTGGTATCTTTGCTTTCGCTTTTGGACCTTCATCGATGAACGTGTGGCACATTGGACATGTTATGTGCATGTTGGACTTGTATGGATTCGTTTTGGACATGTATCGTTGTATTTGGGACCTTTATGTATGGATTGTGTGTGTGTATTATTGTGGTGTTCAAATGTGATGTGTATGCAATATGTGGCTTAAATGTGGTTAAAATGCAACTGAAATGAGGAAAAGAAAAAAATTCAGTGTGAATGGCAAAAAGACAAAACTGCTGGCTGGGAGCAGGCCCGGCAAAATGACGCCGACTACGGTTGGCAAAGGTTTGCCTTTGGAACGTGTCAGTAGCACGTGGAACCGAAGTACTAGCTACGTACGTCATTTATCGGCAAAGGCTTTTGACAACTTGATGGCTGTCGGCAAAGAAGTCTGCCGACTAATTTCTTCGACTTGATGCGAAGAGTTTCAATCCAAACCAGATTATTGCTAGACTAGATCGGTAACTAGGAAATTCACTTGGACTTTTGGAGCTAGCTAGCAATAACAATAGCTTTTGTTTCTATGAACAAATATGTGTGTGTGTATAGGTGCAAATATGGAGTGTGAGACGCGTTAGAATCTCAGTGTGTGAAGCAAATACAAAAGTACGCTGACCAGCAACCCCTTCACGACGTACTACGGTTGGAGGAGTGGAACGTGTCAGTAACACGAAGTACTAGTACGTACGTCATTTAGGGATTTGTTTGATTCGTGCTAGGTTTCTTCGACTTGATGCGAAGAGTTTGGGTTAATCACCGTGCGGAGGTTACTGCAATTCTCAGGGATGTCGAGCAGTGGCAGAGTCAGGATTCAACATCAGGCTATTCCAAGAACATTTTTTTCTAAAGCAATAAGAATCGAGGACATTGATAGAACTAGATATTTTAGTGTAAGCAATACATATTCATTGTGGTACAGAAAACATGGGTATTCCAAGGAATACCCCTTGCGCCGCCCCTGTGTCGAAAAGATGCTTGCTTCTAAACCCCCAGCCAAGTTCATACACGTCCGAAGATTAGCGAACTTCGCCGCACACCTTTGTGCGCAACATGCGTTCTTTTGTTTACAATCTTTTTGCCCTGTTCGCTTGTCTTATAATCCGTATTTTTCAGTCGAAATAATGTTTTTCTCTCACAGCAAATCAGCCAACAGTATTTTCAGCCATGACTTATCAGCCAAACGAGCGGGCCTTTGTTTGGTCTCTTTCCTCTAGCTTTCTTGCTACAATGTTTGCGGTCTGATTGTAACAACTCTATTTGAGTAATGAAGCTATGATTCAAAAAAAAAAGTGGAGCCATTTGTTTATTCGACAAGCCAAGATGCTCTTTCGGATATATAAAAGACGGTTAGCCCGTCACCTTCAACATGCCCGTGTTTTGTGGACAATAAACCCTATGTCGGCAATGTATTGTCAAAGTTTTGAAGCAGATAAAAAGATGCTAAGCTAGTTCTGATATGTCACCACTGGCAACTTCAGTCAATCCGCCTTTAATTATCATATAAAAGAGTACCTGTTAAATTTATGGCACGCCGTAATTGTAGTGTCCATCTTATACTGTACTAATAACCAACAGAAGAAGCAAATCAAAACGCGGTATGTTTTGCGCAACGACAGACACCCCACATCCACATGCGTTAGACTAGGGCCTAAACGCTTGTCCAGGCGCGGTCGAAACAGTTCCACCCCAACTCGCGCTCGGCCGCTCACTCGTGCCAGGCCTCGTCTCATCAGTCATCACTGATGATGATGATGCTATGCAAAAGTGTGCAACGGGCAACTGCCTACTCTACACAAGCCAGCGGAGGACTCGTTCTCGTTGCAAGGCTGCAACCGCACTAGTATTTGAATTCACTGTACACGTTTCTGATATCAACCGCACTAGCATTTTAGAGTCCACATCCTTCACCGGAAGTTGTTCTCCTCGTGGACTAGAGACAAGAGAGCTCAGTCATGCCTGCCGCTGCAGCCTGCGCGCACACGCGGCTCGGGGCGACGATGCTCACGTTCGCGGCGCGGATGCCCACATCGCCGGAGCCGGAGGCCGGTCGTGGCGCCGCCGCCGAGCCCAAGGGGCGCGACGTGCACCCGCAGCTGTGGCAGGCGTGCGCGGGCTCCATGTGCGCCGTGCCGCCCGTCGGCGCCGACATCTACTACTTCCCGCAGGGCCACGCCGAGCACGCCGGCGCCGCCGCCGTGGACCTGCGCGCCGCGGGCGTGCGCGTCTCGCCGTTCGTGCCCTGCCGCGTCGCGGCCGTCAGGCTCATGGCGGAGCCCGACACCGACGACATCTACGCCAGGATACGCCTCGTCCCGCTCCGCCCCTGGGAGCCGGTGGCGGACGTGGGCGACGCCCTGACGGGGAGCGACGGGAGCAGCAGGGGCGGCGCCGGGGACGGCAACGGCCAGCAGCCGCCGCCGCGGCAGCCCAGGCCGTTGTCTTTCGCCAAGACGCTGACGCCGTCCGACGCCAACAACGGCGGCGGCTTCTCCGTGCCGCGGTTCTGCGCGCTCTCCATCTTCCCGCAGCTGGACTACAGCTTTGACCCGCCCGTGCAGTTCGTCTCCGCCAGGGACGTGCACGGCGTCGAGTGGACGTTCCGCCACATCTACCGCGGCACCCCGCGCCGCCACCTGCTCACCACCGGCTGGAGCAACTTCGTCGGCAACAAGAACCTCCGGCCCGGCGACTCCGTCGTCTTCGTCCGCGAGGAGGACGGCAAGCTCCACATCGGCCTGCGGCGCGCCACGCGCGTGTTCTGCAGCGGCGGCAATGCGGGCAGCCCGGGCGCCGCCGCCGCCGCGGGTCCATCGGGCGGCAAGGTCCCAGCGGAGGACGTGGTCGCGGCGGCGAGGCTGGCCGCCGCCGGGCAGCCGTTCGAGGTGGTGCACTACCCGCGTGCGAGCGCGCCGGAGTTCGTCGTGCGTGCGGCCGCCGTCAAGGAGTCCATGCAGGCCCCCTGGTGCCGCGGCCTGCGCTTCAAGATGGCGTTCGAGACGGAGGACCTGTCGCGGATCAGCTGGTTCATGGGCACCGTCGCCGGTGTCGAGCCAGCCGATCCCGCACGGTGGCCGCAGTCGCCCTGGCGACTCCTTCAGGTACGTAAATAAAAAAAGAACGCGCACGCCATCACTCCCACCATGTTCGTTCTTCCTCTGAACCGTCGGTAAATCGTGGCGGTTGCTTCTCCAATTTCGTAGGTGACCTGGGACGAGCCTGAGCTCCTGCGGAACGTGAACCGCGTGTGCCCGTGGCGGGTCGAGCTGGTGTCGAGCATGCCCAGCGTGCCGCGCTTCTCGCCGCCGCCGCGCAAGAAGCCGCGCACCCCGCCGTACACGGAGACTCTCTCGGAGCGCCAGCAACTTTTCGACCCCGCCTTCCCGTTCCCGCCCACACACCCACTCCCACTGGCACCACCCCTCCCTGCCCCAAACCACGACCGGAACCGCCACGATCTCGTCCCCTCCTTCCCGGTCATCCCGGACAGCATCGCTGCTGCTGCTGCAGGCATCCAGGGAGCCAGGCATCCGCAATTCGCTCCATTCTTTCCGGATCTCCACCTCAGCGACCTGCAGCAGAGCCTGCTGTTCTGTGGCATCCGCCGCGCCGATCACCAAGCCCCTCCCGCGCCAAGGATCGCCACCGACTTGAAGATCGGCAGCCCAACGCCCCGCTCTCCATCACTCAAGAAAGGCGACGACGTCAAGCCACCGGGGATAATGCTCTTCGGACGGGAGATACGGACCGAGGAGCAGATGAAAAGCAGCAACGGCTCTGGTGTCCCGATCTCGCCGCGAGCCACCAGCAGCGGCTCGTCCAAGCCCGACTGCGACGACGAGAAAGCGTCCAACACGTCTGATCGCTCTCGCTCCGACGTGTCCCATGGAAGTCCCGCCAAGAAGAATTCGCCGTCCTCCTGGAGATTGTGGTGGTCTGGAGACAGTTCACCGTCTGAATTTGCGCTGGAGCCCGGGCAGTGCAAGGTGTTTGTGGAGTCGGACACCCTCGGCAGGAACCTTGACCTCTCGGCGCTGGGCTCATTCGAGGAGCTCTGCGCGCACCTGTCCAGCATGTTCGGCATCAACAACGCTGATCTGAGGAGCCACATGGTCTACCGCACCATCGCCGGCGAGGTGAAGCACGTCGGCGACGAGCCTTTCAGGTGAGCACATCAGCGACTTCATTGCATTTCCTTTTTTTTCTATACGAATCCAAACCGTGTTGCCACTCCTTTCGATGCCTATAAACTGAAAAAGGTTCCCGTTTTCTCACTTTTCTTCACTTGTTTGTTTGCAGCGCGTTTGTGAAGTCAGCGCGGAGGATCACCATACTGAGCGACGCTGGCAGCGACAACACTGGCAACCGATGAACGACCAATCGGGATCGGCTGCAATAACTTACTGTAGGGCGCTATACTCCTAGGATGCAATAAGCCGGATGCACAGCTGAGGTTGCTGCCGCATGCATTCGGTTTCCTTGTTAGATCAGTCCTAGAGAGTTTACAGCTTAGAGTCAGGAAACTAAGCTGATGCGGTTATTCAGTTCAAGCTAGGTTGGGTTATTCAGTTCAGCTAGGTTGTACTCCAGTATTTTTCTTGTAATTTTAAGGGCCCGTTCGCTTGAACTTATCAGCCGGCTTATCAGTTAGAATCTATAGTATTTTTTTCTCACAATAAATCAGCTTCAGTCGACTTATCAAACGACTTTAATACCAACCGAACAGGCGGGATTGCTGGAAAAAAATTTCTTCTATTTTCTACGTTTTTTTTCAGCAACCGATTCCTATGAGATTTCTATGAAACTGATAATGCAGACAAGATATAATCTTGATCCTGAACCGAAACTCTCCGTTCCCCCTTTTGGATTTGTTCAATGATCAAACTTGAAACCTTGTGATGGTTCAGAAAACCGACTGCTAAGCTCCTGGCCTCTGGCATCCCGACCGGTGGAGCAGCGGTGCCAGAGCCCCAGAGAGACAGGAGCAGCAGCAGCTGAATCGATTGAGAATGCCTGGAACTTCTGACGAAGTTTTGGAGGCTTGGGCCGCTCCAGGCGTTTCATTTGTTCCCTTAGGCCTCGTTTAGATTCTAAGTTTTTTCACTCTCTCTCTATCACATCAAATTTTACACATATGTATTGAGTATTAAATATAGATAAAAAAATAACTAATTACACAGTTTGATTGTAAATTACGAGACGAATCTTTTGAGCCTAGTTAGACTATGATTGGACAATAATTGTCAAATACAAACGAAAATGCTACAATACCAAATATTAATTCCTAACCGCTATCTAAACGAGGCCTTGTTTTTGTGGCAGGTAGCCGGATACTATGCGTTCTGTTGCGTATCCCTGCTGCAGTGCTGCTGCCTCTGATGATGCCCTTCAGTCCAACCGGCGCCCTGTCGTTTGCCTGACGCGGCAAAATAATTGCGCTGCTTGCCCGTTTCGCCCAGGATATTGCTTTGCTGCGCGAAGAAATGGACATCCCAGCTAACGCGATCAGAGCAAACAGTGCCCGCAGTAGTATAGTGCCGCTTCCATTGACATCCTTTCATCATTGTGTTGTTCGTCTCTGAATAATAAGCTCTTGGAATTTCCACCGCTGACTAACCAATTCATTGACAGAAACCGCCGGTACTAACAGAGGAACAGAAGTGTTGGTGTTCAGAATTAACCACGTAATTTGTGCCGAACTTTGGTCGAACTTGGCGACTGAAGGTCATCATCTTCCGCGACAGACAGAGGTACTGATTGATGAACAAAGGTTCGTCAACGACGACGGTGCAGATCGCACCACCACGCAGGAGACGAGACCCTGGACCAGCTACCACCACGCAGGAGACGAGACAAAGATGGCTCCGTCACTAGGCCGGTCCCCCGGCTTGCCTTGCTTGTTCGGTAGGTGTTCTTGACCGCGTCGCTGTCGCCGATGGCAACACGAGCGGGGGAGAAAGGCGCGGGCGCACGGCAAGGCAGAGCGATGCTTAGCGGCCAAGTAACAGACTAACAGGCGTCGTCCCGTCGTTGCCGGCCGTCTCACCGCTGCTGATAGAATGCTCCACCGCGAGACGACAGGCGCTTGTCGTCTGACAGGGAAGGGCTTGCGTCCTGCCTGCGTTTCGCTTTCACACATGATGCCGACGGCGACGGGTCTGGTCGGTCAGGGGTCAGAGGATGCAGAGGCAGGCGACAGGGATTAGCAGCAGGATCATTAGGAGCAGAATGGGTGTGTCTATCTATTATAGTCCATAATATATGTACTAGTTCAGCAGACCTGGGGACACCACCGCCTGTTGTCTAATCAGGAGGGTTTAGCTCTTGCCGCCGTGACAACAACTGCAGGGCATAATGGCAGGTCAAGGGATCGGCACATGTCTATGACTTTGGATGCAAGTCGCCACGGCTCGCGGCGCAAGTGTCGGGCCTGGCTAGCAGCTTAAATGCTTCCCTTGTCGGGATTACAAAACTGGTAGTACATCCGTCATAAGTGTACGGAGGGCTAGCAGCATTAGCGTAGCAGGCGATGGAATTAACTGGCTGATTTGAATTTGATAGTTGATGAGACAGCCTATGAGGACCAGCAGCGGCGGCAGGTGCGCGATCACAGGCACAGTGGTGGCGTGACCTGAATCAAAGGGAGCATCATTAGAAATCCGGTGAGACCTCACCTTCTCAAGTACTGTTGATGAGTCGCCCTCACGCGCTGCCATCGGTCAGTCTGTTCAGGCGACACCGTCGGTCTGCCGGTGCGTGCTTGCAACCATCGCTGTCGCTGTTGTCTGCTAGTAGCTCTTGCTTTGCCTTCAAAGAACTGGTTCATTCTCGGACACGGAGAACGACGGCCCGTGACCATCGTGACAACCTGCACCGCCCACTCGCCTCTGCTCTGATCGATCTACAAGTACAGCAAGGGACCGTCCGGAAGGCCGGAACAAAGAAAAGCGGCGGCGTCGGTGCGCTGCACGCCGTCGCCGGAGCGCCAGCGCCAGCACGTGCCGAGGCGCGAGCCAAGCGACAGCAGACGGACAGCGCACACCGCACAAAGGCGACAGGCGAGACAAAGCACTGCTCGGTCAGCAGGGTCAACAAGTCAACGACCGAGACGACCTCGCCGCGGCACACTGCACCATGTCGGAGGCGGAGGCTGGCTGGGGAGACGAGCTCTGCTTCCGACGAGCAGTAATCAATTACCCGCTGATGATCCAACCGTGAACGGGCCTGCTTGCTGTGCCTTTGTTTAGGCACAGAGATGAAGCAAAGCGAGTACTGATCGTTAACGATGTTGCGGCAGACGGGTCGCATGGGAGTTGGAGACGATGACGAAGACGAATGCTTGCTACCTGACTAGACGGAAGATGACCTACAATGGACAACATATAATAAGTAATCCGTGAAACACTTCCCAAAAATCTTATCCGTACTACGTTGGATCACAAGGATGAGTTTATATATATATATATATATATATTAACAGTTCCTCATAGTGTACATCTTTTCAAAAGAGGTTGGTCCAGATTATATGGTCCTCATAGTGTACTCTTTTCAAAAAATTGGTCCAGATTAAATGGTCCCGTTGTTTAATTTGAAATGTTGTGAGAGAAAAACGTTGAAATTTGGGTTGAAAAAAGTTCGAAAACAAACCGGATTTAAGATAAGCCAAACGGGCCATCTATAGAGAAAAACACATTCTCTACATTAACCAGCTGTCTAGGACCTAGCCCATATACTAGCACGGCGATGCTCGTGTGGCCATGTTATTGATGCGCCGGTGACGACAGCGGCAGGCCGAATGTCTCGCCGCGTCGTGGGCATCGCCTGCAATTTCGGACCGACAGCGTTGAACCCACGGCCAGCGGTCCGTGTTCAGTGACGAGTAGCGCTGCTAGCGTAGCGTCTAGCTAGTCAAACTTTTACATAACACTGTTCCATGCTCTGTTCGTCAGGACTTATTGCTGATGCGGCTGATTTGTAGGGCTGATTTGTTGTAAGAGAAAAATACTATTCTATGGCTGAAAATGTAGGGGCTTATCAGGCGAACAGATGTGGAGCAATAGTTCTATTCCGGTAGCAGGCCCATTTGTGTTCCGAGTTACAGATGAGCACACTGCGAGTTCGAAATGATTTCTCACATTAGTAGCTAGCCAGTTGCTAGGAGTAGGAAACGGCTCCAGTCATTATCCACCTTGTTCAACCAGGTAGACTTGGAAGGCTGGTTGCCAACTTTCTGAGCTTCTCCAGTTTTGCATTGAACTCTTCCAGTTTGTGGGCATTGCTAAAATTGAGTAGAAGGGAAAGTACACTCCTCCAAACCGTTCCCTGAAAATACATATCATTCCTTAGTTTCCAAAGCCCCCACAGGGCTGCAGCACAAAACATATTATCTACTAGGAAACGGTTATTACTAATCCACATTTGCCCAATTGATAAAAAGTCCTACCAAGAGTATCAGAGATATCAGACCACATTTGTTTAGCAACTACACACTCAAAAAATAGATGTCTCACAGATTCTGTTTCACAGCAGAATAAACAAGTACGATCATTTACTTTCCTTCTTTTTCCTAAATTGTCTCTAGTCAAATCTTTATTCTTAGAAAAAGCCATAGAAAACAATGGACTCTAGGAGGGATTTTGAGACTCCAAACTGCTGGCACATGAACAGATTTAACACCTCGAAAATTTATAACTTTGTAAAGGGACTGTGATGAGTAGGTTCCTCTAGAATTAAAGGTCCAAATAAGTGAATCTTCCTCATCTAAAAAACTTATGGTAGATGCTAACTGAATAATCTCTTGCCACTGGATCATTAGTCTATTATCAACTCCTCTTCTAAAGGTGCATTTTAGGTCTGTGCCATCCCAAAGATCAAAAACAGAATGAGATTTTTCATTTGCTAAAACATAAATTTCCCAAAATTGCATTGCAAGACTAGAGGAGCCTAACCAATTATCCTCCCAAAATCTGACTTTTTACCATTGCCTATCCTCCATCTATAACCCATTTTCGCTGCTAAAGCAGCCCAAATCATTCCTTTGAAAAAACTAGAGCTACCTGCAGTATTGCTGCAAAAGATATTTGGCTTGTCAGTACTATACGTATGGTCTATCATCTGTTTCCAGAGCTTATTCTCATCTAAGTTGTACCTCTTAATCCAGGAGGCCAGTAAACAAATATTCAAATCCCTTAAATTTGGGACACCTAACCCTCCAAACTCCTTAAGCATACTAATTGTGTCCCAATTCACCAAATAGTACTTGTGTGCTTCTGGGTTATCATTCCACAAACAGTTGGCCATGTGTGTATGTAAAATTCTAATTGCCCATTTAGGAAATTTGATGAAAGACAGTAGATACACTGGTATACTAGCAAGACAAGCCTTAATCAAAACTAACCTAGCAGCATAAGATAAGAGCTTCCCCCTCCAACCTGCTATTCTTTTCAACATGTTGTCTACAAGTGGTTGTATATCTTCCCTTCTAAGGTTATCATAATGTAAAGGGATACCTAAATATTTAATAGGTAAGGAGCCTGCAGGACAAGCAAAGAAATGGGAAAGATCATGTGTTTCCATATCACTAAGGTTCATAGGAATCAGTTCACTTTTGTGGAAATTGACTCTCATACCTGAAATCTGCTCAAACCATAACAAAATAACTTTTAGATTCACTAAGTGATCCTGTTCTGTGTCAGAAAAGATTATAGTGTCATCAGCATATTGAAGTGCTATAATACCTCCCTCTCTGAAGTCAGAAGCAAGTCCTTTAACTAAACCCAGATTTGCCCCCTCAGGAGAATTTTAGTTAAGACATCACTAACAAGATTACAATGTAGAGGTGATAAGGGGTCTCCCTGTCTAAGACCCTTACCAAACTGAACATAATTTCAGTTCCTGTTCCAAATCAAGGTGCCGCAGAGCCACAGCGCTGCCGCCTCCATATTCTTGCTACTCCCTCTTCTCTGATCTTCCTGGGAGTAGACCGACAAGGCGACAACCATCCGTATCCAATCGAAGAAGAGCAGGCTTCGCCAATAAGACGTTGAGAGCAGGCATCTCCAACTATACAAGCAAATTAATAACCTAGCACTAGCACACAAGAGCAGAGGGGGTGAAAGAAGAAGCGATGTGATTACCTGCGAGTGCGAGAATACGACCACCGGAGGGGACAGCCGGCGGCGGGACGAGCATTGCGTCGCCGTCGTCGACGCCTCCTAGAGTCCTAGTCACGCCCTCGCAGCAGCGTCGGCTGCGCTTCGCGTCTGGGTCAGCCTCGAGGGTAAATTCCCGGGCCGGGGTGATGTTGAATGGCTGGGCCGGGTTACAATCCACTCTGGGCCTAGATTCAATCCAAGCCTAACGAACAAGGCCTCCTGATTCCTGAACGAACAATGGAGTAGTGGACTATGGTCTGAGCCCCCAATCGCTCATGCCTGTAGGTCAGTTGGAGGCAAAAGTTGCGAACCATCCTGATGAGGAAAAAAAAGGTGATCAATCATTGTGTACCCGATACAGCACCAGTGCACCGTTTGTTTGTTCCCCATCAGTTCGAGATATGCTGGTTGTAGATTTGGTATTGGTTCTAGAAAGATGCTTCGCCTAATTGCGTGACTAGAAGGGAGAAAGTGGAGGACTTGACTGGCGGAGTTACTTGACACAAAAGTCATGAAGCAAATCACGTCATTAGGAAGCAGGGTGTCATACTAGATAACGAGAACCACTGAAAATTTTGTCTGAGCTCTTGTTTCTTGAGAACTTCAGACCGGCATCGATTGGCAAATTCGGCACAAACGCACAACTGCATGTCTCGTCCAAAGCTATCCCTCCCGTCGTCCGGTTGACTAAACCAGTCAGGGCCTCGCAGGAGCTTCGTCATCCGGTGCGATGAGCCATTAGATGTTTGATTTGATGCCAGAGGCAGAGACTTTCGGAGCTGTGAGAGCATGTGACGGATGTGGAGACGGAATTTCAGAGTTCAGAAAAGTGAGCTCAGTTCTCAGCTTGCAGGAACTGCAGCTCTGTGTTGACCTGGAGGGCGTTTTCTGATGACAGGACATGCCCTGCACTGTTGGCTGTTGTATATACTTGTATCGATGGTTACAATGTGCGGATTCTACTAGCCAATTGTCGCATTTGAACAGTGTCCCTATGACGATTGAGAATTAAAATACTCCCTCTGTCCCAAAATCGTTATGGGATTCGTGCAAGTCAAATTTTCTTAACTTTGACTAAATTTATAAAAAATGCGTGCAATGTTTATATCTCCAAATAAGTTTATTATTAAAGTATATTCAACGATCTACCTAATGATAATAATTATATATTATAAATATATATATATAGAGCAGCTCAGAACAGAGAGCTGATGGCTACCGATTCCGAGTGGTTTTGCATGGGACAAGATAATCCGAATTCTTGGAGCGACACTGACCACTGTTAGCTCGAGTACGATTTGACCTCGCACTTAGGTGCCGCCGGGAGATGGATCCGTTTTGGCATTTCATTGGTTGATCGATCGCCATCATGGAGCAACGATGAGTACTGCTCCTACAATGTGGACATGTCAGCAGAACCGATTACTAGATAGAGCTGTTGTGGCCCTGTTCGCTTGTGTCGTGAGCTATACTGTTTTAGCGAAAGAATAATATTTTTTCTCGTAATACTTCTGGTCTTGCTTTTCAGCGTAGCGAACGTGGCCATCTTGCCGGCACGGAGTGCATGCAGATGGATGCAGTCCGGAGGAGCCAGTGAACCGCCAATGGGTAGGAACGGCGGTTACCCGTCGTGTCAACGTCAGAAAAACTGTTGCTGTTTCAGGACCGAACACCCCGTTTCGGCAGATCCAACAAACCTCTAGAAAATAATATCGGATCCGTGTGGCCCGTGGGGCCGGGCGAAAGCGAGGGAGAGCCGCAAGCAAGCAAGCAACCTCCGAGGCTCTCCAACCCCAAATTCCGCCGCTCCACGTGACCACGTAGAACAATCGTAACCAAGTCGCTCCCCCGCTATGATTCACTTTATCAGTGATCAACAGCTCACGAAGAAGTGTCCTTTCGTGTGTGTGTATATATATATATATATATATTATATTCAGTAGCCAGCTACAAAAATAAGTTATTCTGTAGTCACCTTCATTTACGATAATTTTATATACTAATTTACGATAATACCAATACATATTTACGATAGTTGGGTTACTATAATATATGGAGATATTTATCATAACGTTATAGTAAACTACTTAGTAAGAAGTTGCTATAATATAATGAATAAATAAGAATTAATAAAATGTATCATATCATATATATATAATATATATATATATATATAATATTATATATATATATATATATATATATATATATATATATATATATATATATATATATATATATGAGTGTCCTTTCACACACATACATATATGGATCAATATATGAACAAGAGTTTACACTCTCATTTGTCTCGTGAATCCCTTGCTTTACATCAAAGACACTTTACATTAAACACGTTATCATGCACGCGCTCTCCACTGCAAGTTAAGAAGGCGGAAAAGTTCACTGGCGCTGTTGCTGTACTGCAAGAACGAGAAGAACATGGAGTTCGCAAAGCACTGAAGCCAGCCATCAACAAAGATTTCGATGACGGCTTCATTGCAACACGGTGATCGTCCTCCACATCGAAAGAATCAAGATCAAGGACGATCTCAAAACAAAAGTAGGACGGTAACAAGCGCTATCGTCTTTTATCATGTTTTATTTACCTCTACGGTAATGGACGCCGCCGTGTCGTGGCGACGGAGTGGCAACGGTTAGTGGCAGTTGTGTGCCCGTATGTGGCCGCGTGCTCGTCGGCCTCAGGCAGCAACGCGAACGCAGCCGCAGCCACGACCAAGGCCGAAATCGGCAGTTGCCCGCGCACCCGGTGTGATTGCGGAGACTGCACACGATCTGACCAGAGGCAGCGCCTCCGCTCCTTGGCCCACGGCGGTGCCTGTACGCCTGCTCGCCAATGGCAGCCCGCTCCAGATTGAAGTGCCCCGTCGGTGGTGGCAGACTGGCAGATGATGACCACGGTGGTGGTTGTACCCCGCGTTAGCCAGGCCGGCTCCTGGCCCAGTCGTCGGAGGCAGCCAGCCCGAGGCCAGGGCCCATCGGACTCGCCCATTGCGGCTGGCCTGGCCGTTATGGCAGGCCACCCGCGCCAGCGGCCTCGCGCTGCGGCCGGCCTGCCTCCCGGCGGCTCCTCCCGCACACGCGGAGCCGGTTCCTTGCGGTCGACGGCCTCTGCGCCTGCAGCGGCCTCGATGCGGCGCTCGCGACCCGACGGAGGCCCCTACGCGGCTGGCCTGCTTCGCAGCGGAGGCTAGAAGCTAGCCTGGCGGCTTTCGTGCCCATGGCCACCGCGCATTGGTGCCCGTGCCCCCCGAGTGGCCTCCCGTGCCCCCGGGCGACCTCCCACGGCGGTGGCTGGAGGCTAGCCCAGCGGTGGCCAGCTCCTGCTGCGGCCTCACGCCAGCAGCCGGAGGCCTTCCCATGGCGGCGGCGCCGACGACCTGGAAGGCGGCAACCCTCACGGTGGAGAGGCCGAGTTCCCGAGAGGAACCGTCCGTGGGTGGATTGGATAAGGTTGTGCATTTCTGCACAGACACCCTTGTATTCTATGAATTGCATGATAGTCCAAATGGATTATTATTAATATATTTCAGAATTATGTTTTAACCATCATCAGGTTTTAACGTAACAGCAGCGTACTATATATTTACCTCATGTAAATATTCATGAATTATGATGCACAATGTTTGCCTCATGTAAGCAAATATTTTTGTGACCACGCGTCAACAGAAATTGAATCATAATATGTACTGTTGTAGATGAGTTTACCACAGTAAATTCCTGTTCCTACATTTTCTGGAAGTTTCTAGTAGTGTTTAAAGAGTTTGCTATATAGCATTCCCAATAACACATACTATTATTGTTACATTATTCAAAGTGTTTTGTCCATGGCAATTCCTAATAACATGTAACAGAGGTGATGAATATATTGTTCAAAGTGTTGTCATATGACATTCCCAATAACGATATATTCCACTCTATTTTATATGCAATTTATTTTGCACTTTTAAGTAAGCCCATTAGCTTATATCCTAAACTCGAGTGCTTAATTCATTTCATGCAAATATTTTATGTGATTACCTCATCATTTCTGTATAATGTTCTGAAACTTTGCATATTGGCCGTACACAAGGTAGTACCATAGTACTACTGCGTGATCTATACTATGTTATACATAGTGATTATCCTCAACATGCGTACCCAATATCAATTTTTAGAACAAATGACCTTCACCTTCACGGTGACTACTTTTGTTCATTTTTCAAAATTAGCCATACACAATGCGTACCACAGTACTACCATGGGATTTCATCCTTAGTGTGCGTACCCAATTTTGAATATGAACTGCAAAAGGATCTACATCTACAGGTGATTACCGTAATTCATCTTTTAGATTGGCCATACACAAGTTAGTATCCCAATACTACTACAGGATCTACACTATGTCCACCACATAATGACTATCCGCATGTGCTTATCCAATATAAATATGAATTGCATAAGGTTTACACCATTTGGGTGTTTACTTTCAAACAATGGTCTCACAATTTGAGGTCTACACCATGTTTCTATAAACATAGTGACTACCTCTGAGTTGAATCACCTAATAAGGTCCATGTCATGTTCCTTACATATGACTACCTTCAAAGTGTGATCAACCTAATTATTATTACCATCGCACAGGTAGTGGGATGACATCTACTGCACATATTTGCAGATTATGCACCCCTGCTATAAGGTCACCAATTTGGTTTGCACCTTTGTGTGTTAACTTGCTAATACATAATTATTGAGACTATTTCTTGGCAATAAATATTGTTCATAGTGATAGTAGTAATTTTCTATTGCCTATCCAATATGAGGTAAACACTACATGTGATTCAAGATTCATCTTGATTTCATAATATTTTGCACATGCCAATTCAAGACTCATCTTGAATTTGAAGATATTTAAGTAATCATTTGCTTAAATAAATAGCAATATATAGTGCATTATTTTGGGGACTCCTTTGTATCATATACAAAGCCTATGTTTTGGCAATGATTTTACATCATCTCATCTATTCTCACAAGAATGGATTCCAAAATATTAGTAGCGACTTTTGTTGCCTATTCTTTATAGAATGGTCAGTCTATAATCAAGTATTACCTTGACCAAAATTTTTGCCTTTCTTGCTATATAATTTACTATCCAAGTAAATTCATACATGATAAACTCATGCAGGACATGGTTAATATTTTTAATTTTGACTTTTCCATACTCGTATTTGAATGGAACTTATTTTTCTACCATGAGCGTTAAGATATCAATAATATCGTTGGGGGCATATGGCATCACTGCTATTGTTGCTCAACCCCAACAAAATGCTCAGTTCATTCTGGATATTGCCACATTTGTTTTTGCATTTTTAATGCAACTCCAATACTTGGATTTCTACAAATCTGTGTATTCAAAGGAGTGAGATCCATCTACCTTTTGCAAGTCCCTTGTCGGGATTTCTACAAAGGATGCAAGATTGCCCAAATTATAAACAAGTGCTTCACTCATTTGTTTATCAAGGATCTTTGACCCATGGCAATTTATAACGTAATGGATTCTTATGAACGCAAGTGTCATTTTTCATTTAGGAAAGTGACCATGTGTGACAAATCTTACATTTTTCACAAAAATGTGATTGTACAGTCCATATATACAGAAATGCCAAATCAAATATTTGGCTCAACTATCCCTCCAACTCATTGGAGACAAGCGAGTCCTTTGGATCAATTTGAAGTTCACTTCAATGAGCAAACGCCTGCAAAAGTCTTCATATTTCCATTGGCAATATTATTAGCCTAATGTCATACTACCACATGTAGTATGTTATCCATTACCAGATAATATCATGGACCTCATACATGGTATACATATTCTATATGAGTGCAAATTCATACTCGAATATTGCCTAACTCTATATAGAATCACTTGGGATTTAACCAGGTGGAAAAGAATCTTGTTTAGTGGACCACCATACCGCTAACACAATTGTGGGAGATTACACTCTCTATGGGTATTCATTATTAATCATGGACGCACCCATGTATCCTGATTTTATTGATACTCCATGATCCTTTCATGTATTTAGTTGCATGGTTTCCAAACGGGAACTCAATACTAAGGTGTGATGATAAAAATCTACTGTCTACTTAGTGCAACATATATTAAAACAATATAATTGTGCAAATTCCTTCCATATATGGGGTGTATTATACATACATCAATCCCATAATATATGTTGCGTACAAAATAATTTTTTCTCTTGATACCATCAAGATTTGGCAGATTTGCCTTGATCATTCTACCTTTAGGATGATGAGAAAATTATTATCAATTCTATTGGTCACAACATCAATATGAGCCACTAAATTTCTTGAAGAAATTCAAGAACATATATGTGACTCTATATGCCAATTTATGGACCATTAAGATACTATGTAATACATATTTATGCATCTACAATGTTGTCCTAAGTGTGTGCCTTACTCATAAGGTACCACAAATTTGCCAAACCGTTGCTCAAATTCTTCAATTTAGAGCAAATGATCCTAGACGTGGGATCTAATTCATTTATATGGAAATATTTGGTTTTAGGGACTACATTATTAAGTATCTTATGTTTATACACATAATGGTCCAATTGAATCTCTCATTGAGAGAATCAAGCTTGTTGTTTGATGACCCAAAATAGAATTTCAATTTACCAACATCTAGTTGGTGGCATGCGGATTTACACACCACATCATAAATCCAAATTTATCAAACTGCAGTCATACGACTCCCTCTATTGCAGTTAGTACGTGAAAATTTGGCCCTATAGCCAAAACATCTCCCATTTGTGAATCGGCAACATTTTGCACGTACCGATATCACCACCGCAGCATACATCAATGGGCATTGGAGGTCTACACAAGGTATCATTATCCATCATTCAATAATACCTCAGATCTCTACTTGGGGATTCATTCATTGCCCGTATGCTGAATACATCTTTAACGAAGATTTCAGGCATTAGGGGGAGATACTTACCACACATAGAATATAATGCCAGAAATCAGAAAGAGAATGTCATTATTGATATTCGATCCTCATATCCACGTACCAAAGAATCTGAACCAACAGTTCAGAATCTTATATTTGCAACACATTGCAAATAGTCTGCCAAATGCATTTACTTGTCATAAAGTTGTCACCAAATCCGATTCTCGTTGAATGTGCTAGAAAGAGTTGAGGTACCTAACAAAATCACTCAACTCCTATGAATCTCAATAAGAGGGGGAGAAGTATGGCAATATAGAGATACAACTTCTTGCAAGCATTCTCGGATTAGGGGGAGAAAATTCTCCAAGACAGTACATGCATATAAACATCAAGTTGATAGACACTATGGATATTTACTATCCAAAGCCTATGTATGTTTAACATCCAAAAGCTCAGCACAACTTGTGCATAATTTGAGACGCTGGGTCATTGAAACACCCTAACTCTGTTATTATGGGAAATGACATGGAGTTTAAAGGGTATATATTTCCACATGCTTAATTGGTTCCATTGAATCAATCATACAAAAGACTACAAATTATCGACATACTCCTCAAAATTGCTATGCACCTTATCTGGATCCAGACCATAAGTCCTAGGCAAAGTGTTCAAACACTCATATTGGGTCAACTAAAGGTGTCAATTAAGGAGAATTGCTTTCACTCAATAGTGAGAAGTCATTACCTCTGAAATAACTTCTCCTCACAATGCATTCCCTATGGAAGCATTATGGATTTTTCAAATCCATAAGGTGGTGAAATAGTGAGAACTTGTAGCACATGGTTTCTGCAGAGACCTAACATAACATACCCATTGGTATGTGTGAAAATTATATTCCTATATCGATAATTAGCAGATGAAATTTGATTTGGATAGATTCGGATTATAAGTCCCAATGGACTTTGTATTTTGAATCAAAACACAAATCGCAACATATATTTGTGTACAAATCAAATAACTCTATGACTTGAGAT